TTATTTCTTGCCTTCTACTTCTTTTGCTGTTGTTTTGCTCTTCTTTTTCTAGGATTTTGAGATGAAGTRTGAGATCATTTATTTGTTGGTTTTTCCTTTTTTTAAGGAATGAACTCCAGGCAATGAATTTTCCTCTTAGAACTGCTTTCATTGTGTCCCATAGATTCCGATATGTTGAGAACAGACACTTTTTCTTAACACCCTTGGTTGGGCTTTGGTTAGAGCATTTTATTTCAAGTTCACKGTTACACTGAGGGGTAGTTTTCTGGGATGCCAGCTTTAGCAGGCAGGGTTTCCTCTTTGATCCCTCTTCTTGAGCAGACTCCGGATCACCTTCTGCATCTCCCTGTGGACTTAAAAAAAAAATGGATGCTCATGGGACAAAAGCTGGATTCAGCTCTTTCTGGACTTCTCTGGGTCCTGCCTTCATTTAGATTTGTACATTTTGTACAACTTTATGGGTTGTTTTCATCAGGCAGATACTTAGTCTTTCATGGTGTCAGAAATGGRCAGGTGCATAATTTGCTTTCTTATATCCTTTCCAACATTGTTTACTCAACACTGCTGCTGAAGATCCATCATGAGTGTCCTGATTATGTTGGGGTAGATACTTGTAGTGTTTTGGCAGTCCCTTACCCTCCTCACAGTACTAGGACTTCTTTGGAAGGAATAAAGATAGAAATTGTGTTAACATGATCTAAACTGGTCTGTATGTGGCTTATAGATTTTGTTTAGGAAGTAGTTTTCAATCCCAAATTTTCAAATATCTTTTTTCCTCATGTAAGTTTGTATACTGGTTGGATTTAATAACTAAGTGGCTCTTTGGTGATGATAGTGTATTTTGGCATTGATAGGACTTCAAGTGTTTCTGTGAGAAGGGTGCTGCTCATAATGCTTGCCTCTTGTTTCCCAAGAACTGCTGCTCTCTGCAGAAGAGCAGCTCAGCATCATGAGGTGCCACCCATGCTCCGTGCCATCTACTCTTCCAAACCATGAGACAAAAATTTCCCCACATCCTTGCTAGAAATTGAACCCAGAGCCTTGAACCTACTAGGGTGATTCCCATTTTAATCCTGGGACAATGGAGGTTTAAAGAGCCAGATAACTTGTTCAAGCATCTGGCAGCTGAAAACCAAAACTTAGATCCAGTAGTTTTAACTTCACTTCTCACTCTGACCGTTGCCTTTTTTGGCCTCCCTAAGGAACATGGCAAACAGGTGTAGGTGTGGGAGATATGTATGTCACAAGTAATCTGTCACAAAGGTCTCAACAGGATCTTAGTAGATCCTTAGCTCCTCTTCCTGCCACACCTGGAGCTCTAATATAGATCTGTTTGTGCAACTTTGTGAGGTGAGAGGTAACATTTGGATATTACAGGTGTTGTGAGAAACCAGGTACTTACTGTTCACTGGGCATAGCTACAGAGGAAATGGCACTGCACAGAAGAACCAGGACATGAGATGGACACTGGCAGTCCACATACAGTGTGACAAAAAAATGAGGGACAACCCCAAGGAGCCTAGTCACCATTCCCAGGGAACATTTCAGGGGCTCATGCAGACTGAACTGCAGTCTCCTAGCTTTGCAAGAATGAGAGTAGGGTACAGGAGTATGATGTGTTGGCAGACATACAAAAGTTCCATGTGTGAGTAGAGGGCACCTGGGAGAGGTGGGCTGTAAGGAGGTGGACATGCAGGAGCCCACCCACAGCCCCTTAACTGCACAGAGCTTTTCCCACATGGTTTGCAGCCAGGCTATACTAGGCTTCCCCTGGCTTTCCAATTCAGCATATCTGGAATGGGGCCTGAGAATGCACATTTTGTTTCCCAGGAAACAAAATGGGCCAAGGTTGGTGTCATTGCAGGTCACATGAGCTCACATCCAATGCACAGATGTCCTGCCCCTTCTTTGGTTGGGTAGGTGAAACTCAAAAATAACTTTACCAGGAAACTAGGAATGCCATAAACATATTGTCATTTGCCCAAAGTTCAGGTATCTTCACATGTTCTGTACAAACTACAAGCTCATGTTCTCTACAAACACCTGAGCACCTGTTAGTGCTGTGTACCAGATGATAGGGGGAGAGCAGCAGACAGGCCTCACACTCAGCCTTGGTCTGATGCAGTGGCTACCAGCTATTTAAACTTAGACATTTAGTTCCTTGAGCACACTGGCCACATTTCAATACTCAATACCCACAAAATGTAGTTAAACGTGGCCATTATATTGGACAGTGTAGTTATAGAACATTCTGTCACTGCAGAAAGTTTTCTGTTGGGTTGTGYTGGTCTTGTGGAAATGTTGGATAATGAACAAATTAGAAATTAGTGGAGTTTACTGTGAATGCACAGGGTTAGACTGTAGTGAGGACCTCATCCAGCTTGGGCCTTGTCCACAGCAGGGAATGGGCAGGCTGGAAAAGAAGGGTGACTCCCCATTTTTGGTGCCTCAGTTCCTTTAGTTTCCCAAGTTTCATGTGCCCTTCAGTAAACCCTGCTTGAAGATTCTTGAAGGCAAGGACAAGCCCCACCCAGACCTGTATCCAGCATATGCCTCCACAGGAAGATGTTAACAAGTGCTGCCCAGCCCCCCCTGGGCCTGAAGACCCGCAATGTCCACATTCATCCAGGTTCCGACTGTGAAGGCTCCTGCAGTGAAAGAGCCTTTGCAGTTTTTCACTGAGTGTCCTCAACTTACCTGACCATGGACTAAAGCAGCTAGTGGCATCCTTTGCCACCAGCTTTGAGGCAAGCAGGACTGCAACACTGTGCAGCCTGTTCTAGTCTTGCACTGCACATTGGAAAAGCCCTTTGTGAGAATATGTTGCCCAACTGCAGATGAATGCTCCCTGCCAGGTGCCCCCTTGGATGCCTGATATGTCCTCCCTTCTCTTCCTCCCTAGCCTGGGCTACTGGCACCACGTATGGCATACCACCTGGCACACACAAGAGTGGGGAGCAACATGTTCTTTTATTGATGCAAGTACGTCCAGTCACACCAAAACTGACATCCTGTGCTATGGTACAGCTTTATACTCAGAGATCAGCTCCAAATACCAAAACATCAAATTGAAGGTATGTATCAAATTGGGAAAATAAAATAGCAAACATAGACACTGTTTCAAGTAGAACTGGTGACCCGTGAAGCGCACATTGACATGAAGGCTCTTTAACACACATACAGAAAATGTTCTGACATTGTATTCCAAATATATATTCTCAAGTTTCAGCCTTTCTTTATCTCAAAGACATAAACAAAGCAATATGTACTATCAGTATACAATCTGGACTAGCTAGAATGTCTGAAAAGTGCAAACACACTGTGACAATACAGTGTAACTATTCAGCTCCACTCYGGCTGAGGGCAGCAGCCACTTTGCCTCCTTCACCAGGCCTGGCCCATTCGTCTCCAGGCTCTCCCTCTGAGCTCTGGAATTGGGACCTTAACGGGTCCCTGACTTGGTTTCCTGACTCGTGGCTCCTGCCAAAGCCAGGCAAGTGGAGAGGGACAAGGATGAGAAGCTCCTGCAAGGGAGACAGTCAGTGTGGATGGACCGCCTCTGGCTTTCTAAAGGAGAGAGCCGTGCAGTCCCACGGTCAGTAAGGCCCAAGGTTCACGCCAGGAAGTCAGACATGAAAAATGGAGTGTTCTCTTCTGGTTTGGGTTTAGAAAAATACCTCTCAGTGTTGGGCAGTTCCATCTGAAAGGGCTCCAGCAGTTACAGCCTGGCTAATTTTCTGATTTTAGATTCCAGTGAGGTTGCCTCCCACCAGAGAGAAGAGGAGGGCAAGTCCCCTAGCACACTGACTTTGCTTCTTTCTCTTCCTTTTGTGCGTGGGTTTCGAGAACAGCTTTAAATGTCACCATCCCGAGTCTACTTAGTGTTCTCTTCATTACAGCTCAGTGTGTCTTTCCGTTACAGCCATGAAAACTGCAATGCTATGGCTCCCTCCCCCTTATTACTTTAGATTTTCTCTTGTCTAAAACACAATTGAAGAATTTGCCAGACATATTCTTCCAGAAAATATGCCACCAGGTGTCCCCCTGCCCCTCCCCGACCCCATAAATCCCTGATAAAGGAAAATGAAAATGTAAACTTTGGAGAGCCCGCACTCAAAGGTTCACTTCCAGAAGTATATACGAGACCTCCCAGGTGCCCCAGCCCTTCCCCCTGGAACCTCATGGCCTAGGCTGTTGAGGGTGAGCGCCTCACAGCTCAGGGCAGAGCTCACTGAAGGCTCAAACAACAGAGCAGGAAGACCGGACCCCCAGTACCCTCTAAGGCACTAACCCCGACATCAGAGACACTGGCTGGAAAGGCGTCCGAGCAGGCAGGGCTCACGTTGGTTTTGGTTGGGTTTTTTAAAATATTTTTTTCATAAGATGTTAATAATCAAAAGTATAAAATAAAAATCTACATTTCATTAGAATAAGATGTTATCATGGATGCCATCTCCCATGATACTCTTTCCCCACCCCTCCCCAAAGCAGGGCCCTGCCCTGTTATTTAAAATAAACAAAAAAACTTTGTAAGTGCCAAAGGTTGATGCATGAAATAATTACCATTTTCTTTTTCATAAAAGTTATATACAAAATGGACCCCAACCAGTGAGGCCTCCTCATCTCAACCCATATCAATCAAGATTCAAACTTGGTTTGTGCGTGTGCTTCATCCGGTTACGTGCAGGCTGCATCCAGACCCTCAGGCTCTATTAAGGAGAGTGGTCCTAAAGGTGGGCAAGGGACAGGACAACAGTCAGGCTCCTGAGCAGGCAGAAAGTGTAGGTCCTTGATTCGTGAGGGGAGGGCCCAAATCCGGACCCAGTCCTCAGTCTCCCACTGCCCCAGGGGTCCTGACCCCTTTCAGAAAGGCAGATTGTCATGTGTGCTCCCAGTCCTCTCCCTTCCTTGTGGGCTCCTGGGTCCCTGGGGTATCCTACCTGAGGGCCTTCCAGCTGTCCTTTTCCATATGGTTCTCAGGACCTTCACTTTCAAAGGAGGCGATGAAGAGAGCTGAGGATGGGAAAGCTCTTAGAACCAGTATCTCCTTGGGTGTCTGCCTGCCACACCCAGTTATCCCTTCCAGGGGCAAAGCTAGTCCCAGGACAAAGGGACAAAAACCTCTGGCTGGGTAATATGCAGGTTTCTACTGCAAGGAATTCCTAGACTTCTTGTCAAGGGACTAGAGTACTTCCTTGTTTTGGTTCTCTTGAATAGCATCCCGTCCTCCTTATCTGTCATCTGTCATCTGTCCATAACCCACCTTCATGCACACTCATGGTGCAAGCTGAGTAGCCCCTATGTGATTCTGGGTAATAATCACACCCACCTCCCAGGGCAATCCCAAGAGGACAAGGGGCCTAGATGGGGAGTCAGGGCAATTGTCCAGCTGGCAAGTGGGGCATACTGCCAGGAAGGGGCTCTTACCTTCCTCGCTGTAGATGGGCGCTGTAAGCAGGTAACTCTGAATCTTCTTGTCCTTCTCAAAGGGACACTCTACTTGTGTCCATGTCATAAACTCATGGATCTGTCTGGAGATCTCCCAAAATTTCTGAAGGTACAGAAAACCAATAAAGTATTCATCTGTCATTGTGAGCTTAAAACCCAGTCAGAGGCAGGGGGTATGGTTTCTGGTCTTGCCGCTCCAGTCATTAGTGCTGTTGAGATGGAGACAGTGGCCCTGCATGGCTGACCCCAGGGCCATGGTGTCTTGTGCTACATCAGAACCAGCATATGTTCCCTGAGGCCACTCTATCATGCCTTCTGCCTGGGCCATCAGACTATAGCAGGGACTGTGTCTCCCCTGATAGGGCTCCATTTATGATTCCAGCCTGAGGCAGCATCCTGGCCACACCCAACACAGAAGTGTCAGCCAGGACATGCCATGATCTCACTTCTAGGGCCTATATAGGCATCCACAGTGCCTACCCCTTCTTTACCTGTAGGAGCCCAGTGCCACCTATACTTCCCCAGGCACTTTTGTCCTGYCCTCCTGTCCTTGGTCAGAGCCCTTTTCTGCTACTATCTCATCTGTATTCAAATTCCTTCTTGCATAAAACCCTCCTGACCCCCAATTCCCCAGAAGTGGCCTCTGTTCTATCTCCTGGATGGGATCAATGGTGAAACCAGGATCCTGGGTAAATATAGGTTCCCTGTGTCAACAAGCTCTGTGATCAGATCTTCCCTCAAGAAGGGCACAGTCCACTCCTCGAGCCTTACATCTCATGGCCAAGCAGTAATGCTGATGTTTCAGTCCTTAAAGCCCTTCCAAACCTCAGGCAGAGCTTGGGAAACCTGCAAATACTGCCACAAAGCTACTACCACACCTGTGGAGACACATGGTCTCTGCCTACCCATCTGTGCCAGAACCACAAGGGACTGGGCTCACCTTAAAGTTAATGTGCCCATTGGGTAAATGGTTGGTGTGGATTTTGTGCAGGAAATAGATGTCCTTAACGAAGAGGTTGAATACTGGGATGACAATCTTCTCACGGCTGCTATTGGCCATCTGGGACCGCTGTGTGGCCCCCTGCAGGGCAGTGCGGTAGTTACAGAAGTTGCTGGATGGATCCATGTGGTGCTGTGGGCATAGCAAGGACCAGGTGAGCCCCTCAGACCCACTCAGCATGCCCTCTGCAGAGCACAAGACAGCAAGAGGAGAAGTCACTGTCCCTAGAGGAGCCCAGGAGTGAGCACAGAGTGGGTAAAACCAAAAGGTGCCTGCTGAACACTGGGGCCTGTGGAAAACTATAAAGAAGTGTCACAGCCCTGCCCTGTTATGCCCAGGTCTCATCCCCCTTCCTTCCAGACCTTGCTTTGCTCTTCTATATATACTAAGCCTGACCAGCTCCATGGGACAAATGTTTTGCCAGAGGTCGGGAGGTAGTGATAGAAATATATCTGGGAAGGACTGCAGATGAGCTAAATGGTCTGCCAGCCTCTGGGCAACCCAGATAATCCAGAAYTAGGGAAAGCTGATCCAGGAAAAGGCCAGTAAGACTGCTCAGTGGATATCATCCCTTTTGTCAAACTCTCCATTCTCTAACTTGCTCTAGGCAATGCTAGTTCTACTGGATGCAGCAATGGCCAAGGACAGCTTGAGAACCCACCAGCAGGCCAGCTCCATACATGTCTGAATCAAAGGAAAGATCCCACCCCTGCTGCCACACAGGACAAAGGTGGGGCACTGGGCTGTGCCAGTAACTTGGGTACCTACCTCCAAGACGTCAAACTTGGCTGTCTTGACTTTGGACCATGTTTTCTTCAGCCGAGCCACTGGACTAAGGTTCATGCCAGCTGCAGGGACAGTGGGCAGGGGTCAGAGCATGAGAAGGCAGAGGGTGTGGGCAGCCCCCAACCTGTGCCAGCACTCACAAATGATGGCCATCATGGAGTTGAAGTTTCCAATGTTGAAGCACTCTCGGGCCACATCAATGAAAAACTCCARCATGCGGGTCCGATGCTTCTTCTTAACCACCTGGAAGGCAACAGGATGACCTCAGCGTGGAGCCACCAACAGGCCACAGGAGCTGGGGCCACTGGGCAGAGGGTCGAGAAGTTCCTTGGGACTTAACTTCCAGGTCTGGGAGATTCAAGGCTCTATCTGTGAGACTCAGACACATGTCCAACACCTGATGGATCTCCTCAGCCATAAAAGGGATGGGCTGTTTGCTTGCCAAGGCTGGCAGAATGGTGCTGGGCACAAGGGGCACACTCCCACATAGGGGATCCCTATTGTCATTTAAGTAATCAATGGATATGGAGGCTTCAGGGTGGGAGCACTACCAAGGCCCTGGCAATGGACACTTCATGTGCTTATTTTGAAAGTTCCATCATCTAAAGGGGAAATACAGGGGAATGATATTAGCCAAATTATAATGTTTTATTGTATAAAAATATGAATTTTTTCATATTTTTTCATATTTTTCTTAATTTTTAAAGTGTGACAAAGAGAGAGAGAGAGAGAGAGAGAGAGAGAGAGTGAGAGAGAGAGAGTGTGTTCCATATAAGTTGAGGCAGGCAGGGCAAAATTCACAACCTCACCAGGTCTGGAAAGGGCATGGCCACCCCACCCACATCTGCTGTGGCACGTTCTTACCCGGCACACCTCAGTAGCCACCAGCATGCTCAGGCAGTTGAACCAGTTGTCATAGGCCTCCAGGCTGTAGGTCTTGTTCATGTCCCCTCGGCACTGGGGGTTACAAAGCAAGTCACAGGGATCCCAGAGGACCCTGATTGGGCAAGTCAGTTCCCACTGCTCACACCTGTCTGCTCCTTGGCTGCCCAGTGCTCAGCTAAGCTGGGAGGTCATGCTAGCTCCCCAACCCCAAGCAGAGCCTGTGTCCCTCCCAGCATGCATCACTCTGTGTGGCCATTGCTGAACCCCCTCAATGGGTACCAGGAAAGCCATCAGGTTTCATGATCTGACACTCCAGAAGTCATGCTGAGTGCAGCCTGGACCTCAGCCCACTCACCCTGTGGTTGTCCAAGGAGTCCATGTGGCTGATGATCTGCATCAGGTCCTCAGGGTGAATGCTGCTGACCCTCTCCTAGGGGGGAGAGACAGCAAAGGGAGGGTGACCAGCCTCCCCTAAAAGAGGAAAAAGAACTGCAGGGGAGAGTGACTCAGGCCTTGGAGACAGGGAAGGCCTGCCTAGGGCACAGGCCCTTCTCCTCCCAGGCCAATCTTCCATCCTRGGACGAGGACAATGCAGTACCAAACCCTCCCATTCACACAGGGCTGCCATGCTCCTGCAGACCCGATACCWGCTGGACACAGCCAGCCTGAGGCACACAGGCCAAGGCTGGCAAGCCAGCTTCCCTGTGACCACCCAGTCTGGCTGGCAAGGATCTTGGCAGCACTACATTGAGAGGGACATTGGGTCCAGCAGCCCTGTCCAAGCAGCAGTGAATGTGGCCCTAGTCCCACCCTACTCCATGCAGAGCATTTGGCTGCACTGACCAGCTCGATGTGGGTCAGCTGCTGGGCCAGCACCAGGGGGTCGCAGCACACGCCCAGGATGTCTTTCTGAGCGGCCGGTGGCTTGGCCTTGAGGACAGGCCCTTTTTCAACAGCTGGTGGCCGGAGCTTCTCCCGCAGCTCCTGGAGCTGGCTCCGGGTGGCCAGGGATAGCAGCAGGCTCTGTATCATCTGGGTGATGGCCTTCTTTACTGTGCCATTCTCCTGTGAGTGTCAGAGAGTGGTGAGGGTRCTGAGGTGGGCTTGTGGTAAGTCCACTGCCATCATGAGAAACCCATCTCATCGCCAGAGACATGGCTGACTTTGAGCCCACATGCCCTGTCCAGAGCTGCTCTGAGCCTCTGAACCCTTGATGAGAGAGGGGTGCARTGTGGGCTCCTCTGAGGCCTACTGGGGAAGGTGGGCTCCATGAACTATCCTTCTAGCAGAAGGGCAGAGGGCAGGGTCAGAACTGGTCTTCTGGGGTCTGAAAAGTGTGGCTTTCCCAGAGGTGGCCAGCTGAGCTGCTTGTCACTGCCTCCCAGCATCAGAAGGGGCCACGGCATGAGTCAAGGCATCAAGAAGGGCTTTTACCCTGGGTGGGGACAGCCTGGGTCCCCAATCTCTCCCAAAGCTTTCCCAGGGCTTCCCGAGTCCCCCAGGGAATAGGAGCTGTGGAACACAAAGAAATTCTTCAGYACAGAGAGACCCTCTCAGCTCCTTGGGTTTCCTATCTCCAGCGAAGGCCAACAGTGAGCTAGGAGTAGAAAGAGCATACAGACTCATATCCTCTCAATAGGTCCCAACAAGGGTGTCCAGGGCCAGAAGGGGGTTCAGAGCAATAGTCTTGCATGCAGTGTTTGTAGGCAAAGCTGACCCAATTCTGGCCAGCTGAGCTGCATCTGGGGATATGGCAGATCTGGTGGAGCCACCTTGCCACTCTCTTCATGGAGTAACAGGGGAGGGGATCAATACTAGTCTGTGTCTGTATACCCCACCTTCCAGAAGACAGACCCAAGCAGCCTGACCAGGGGCTGAGGGAGGACCTCACCTCATCGCACTGGGTGACACGGTGAGCAATGGCCTTCAGCTCCGCCATGGCCTTCTCATCCTGGAAGTCATAGGGGAAGGCCTCTGTCCACTCCTTCAGGAGCTGCACAATCTTGGCGGAGAAGGACTTTAGCTTGGCCTAGGGCAGCAGGGATCAGTGTGAGGCCCCATGGGCCAGATAGGACTGCAAGATGGCAAGTGTCACAGCTTCCTTCTGCCTCAGGACCCATACCCCTAAGCCCAGGGCCTGTGCTGGGCATGTCTCTCTGCCACACATGCCACCTGTGGTTTTGCCACACCAGAATGACCTCTGAGACTCCTTTTTGTTTCCTACTTCCCTTAAATAAACTTTTTTTTTGTCATTTAAACAAATTAATTTCCAAAACCATAACCCATCACTATTATAACATAGATTTACTTGCAATACTTAAATGTTACCCATAAAAAGCATACAGGAAAATCAAATAAAATCATAATGTTAAATTAGAAGCTTATCTGCCCTTTCTGTTAAAGACAGTTTTGCAAGTGCCGTAGGGCAGGGTGTAGACCTGAGGAGCAAGTAAGTTAACGACTCCTGGTCAAGAAAGGTAGAGGTATCCCTAGTCACCTGTGTCAACTTGCACATGCAGCCTGGGGACAGGTGCCCTGCACCCTGGCACAGGGCTGAGGGAAGGAGGGTGTGGGTGCAGCTGCCCATCTTGTTCAGAGGATGCCTACATGGCCTCTGYCCCCATGAAGTAGAGAGGAAGCAATGCAGGATGCTCTGTTGCCAAATTCTCACTGACCCACCAGAATGCCCACAGAGGCCAGAACCACTCCTGCACCCACCATGGCTCCTCCCATACCTGATCAGCTCCCCACCACACTGTTCCAATCCAACTGTTATGGCCACAGCATGAACCATGACTGCTCTGGGGACCCAGGCTATCATGACCCCTAATGCTCTGGGGACCCAGGCTCTCACACAACTCAGCCCCCAGCCCTGCATATGCTTGGAACCTGCCCCTTTTGGGTGACATGACTGGCCAGTGCTCTGGACTGGACCACCTGGTGCCAGCTACTCTGAGAAGACTATGTGGAGGGCACATGGCATTCACGGGCATTCTTCTGCAAACCTCCAGTGACAGAAGGTCTGGCCACATGAAGCAGGGAGGTGAAGGGCCGGTCGGGCCCCACTCCTATGCTGCTCTGACAGCCCTGCCAGCCCCTGGATATCATGTCCACCACCCATTTTTCCACTTTGGACCCTGAGCTTCTGAAAGTCTTGTCCAAATGCCTGCCTCCGAGGGCCTCAGGGTCAAGCTATGGCTTCCTGACTGTCTGAAACCTGGCACCATCCAGAAGAGACTGTGGCCCCTATAAAATACTCGAGCAGTGAAGGCTGAGGACACTGCCACCTGACCCCCACCCCCCATGAGGTGGCAACGGTCCAGGTCCTGCTGGCTATAACAGAACCTTCCATATCAGGGAGACTGGCATTGGTCTGGACGGCTGTCTATGGGGCCCTTCCCTGGAAGGGGCACAAGTGTCATCAATAGTAGGGACTTGGAGCATCCTAAAAGGAGTTCTCTGCTCTGGCAACACCCCTCAGACCAGGAGAAGCCACACCCCAAGAGACACAGACAGCACCAGGATCCCTTCGCACTCATACCTTCTCAGGCCCAGCCTCCAGCTGCTGCCTTTGCTCCAGGCAGATCTGCCCCACTCGGGCCAGCAGGTCATGAGGGGGCATAAAGACCCGGGAGCTCAGGAGGAATGTGAAGATGTATGTCCTCTGAAGAAAGGAGACAGGCAAAGTGCTGGTCAGGCCAGGAATGGCAGCATCCAGGTAGGCTCATGCCGCTGCTCTTCCTGGCCTGGCCCTTCCCAGGCCAGCATCACATGTGGGGCCTCTGTGCCTTCACCTGCATGGTTTCCTTCACTTACACAYCTGGCTTCTCTCATACTGCTACTCCAATCCCACCCACCTTGGAGGAACAGCTGGGCTGGAATTCTCCAGCACCCTTTGTCCCACTCTATAATGGGAGCCAGCCTTGGATGATGGTGGGGCTGTCTGGGCATGCTGCCCAGCCCRAGATGCTCCCTGAGACCGGGTCCAGGCCTCTTGGTTCTCCAGATCCTTGCAGGCTTTGCCAAGGTCAGTGGGGAACACCTGGGAGAGATGGCTTGCTCAGTGAGGCAGGGCTCTGTTGGCAGCAGAGTGGCTTGATGGGGAGCGTGGGCAGAGCAGTCAGAGGGAAAGGATCGGGCCTAGCCCGTGGGAATGTGACCTGGGGGACTAAGTGGAGCTGAGAGGTCAAGGAGGACATGGCCTGGTCAGCAGGAACAGGGCCTTGGAGGACAGGACCTGGAAAGCTATGGATCTTGTGACCAGGTGTAGCCCTTCACCCCAACTGCCATTCCAGGGCCCCTCCATCCCACATCCATGTGCCCTTGTCACCAGGATCCTCAAGGACTGGACTAAAGGGTGGCGAGGGGAATCTGTGGCCCAGGGTTCTCAGGCCTTCCATCTGCAGGGTCAGTTCCTGTGGAATCTTCATACTGGACTCTGCTTATAGGTGGACTTGTGGGTCAATACCATCTCCATGAGGCTGCTTGGGGCTCCTAGGAGGGAATCTACCCCACTCAACCTCACTCTGTCCTGAAATGGCTGCCAGAGGATGAGAAGTGGGAGGGCAGGTCCATCCACCCCAACTCCCAGCCCAAAGGACAAACTTCCTTGCTCCAGCCCAAAGATAACACGGCCAAGCTTCCTGGGAGTGCAGACCTCCTGGAGCAGGACACAGGGCCAGGGGTCCTCACTGCCCCCAAGCAGCCCTCCAGGTGGGGAATAAGACTACTAGGAGCCCTCCCTGGAATATCAGGGTATCCTCTGCCTCCACACACACTTCCTGCGCTCTGTGCTAGGCTGTGCAGCATGGGTGCTTATGGGTCCCAGCTGCAGGTAGGACTCTCAGGTCCTCCTCATCAGCAGACAACTCAGATACATAAGGAAAAGCACACTATCACCTCTTGGCTAAGGCAGATAGGGGAGGAGCCATTACCATCTCCAGGAAAAGTGAAGACTTACTGRGGTGTACGTGTCTGGCCCACATGCCTGTCTGGCAGTGAGGAAAGGGGGAACCCAGGCACTCTGCAGAGGAGCCAAGACCCAGCCAAGACCCTGGCCTACTTTCTKCCCTTGTCATCTCTCTGTTCTCTCCTGGGAAGCAGTCAGGATCGTAGAGCACAATGTTCCAAGAACTCCATTGGATAACACCTGGATGGCTCCTCTGGGAAAAGCCTATGAGATGAGGAGTTCTTCCTGCTATAGCACAGGACCGCTGACCCACAGGCTGACTAGCATTGAAGGGTCACAGTCCTGCCTTGGGCTTCTTCAGGACCTGAGGCTTCTCCTCCTGGCTCTGCCCCCAGGCACTCAACATCAGTGTCTGTACTATCAGCACTGTCCCTGACAGGGCTTATGGGGTGGACAGAAAAACAGGGGAGTGGACAATGCAAAGGTGCATCTTCCCAGAGCCCCAGAAGGAGGGAAGTGGCCTGACAGGAGGGGAAGCTGAGCTGACTCCAGCACAGCCAATAGGAAGAAGCTGGAGACCAACAACTCTGCCTGCACCTCCTGCGAACCRCCTCTGAACAGCCAAAGCCAAGGCAATGACTGCCCTCGGAGGATGAAGGGTCCAGGACAGGCCCTCCCAGAAGATGGATGCTCAGCTCACAAAAGGAAGCAGGCAGGCCTACAGACCCACCGTTGCTAAGAGATGTCACTCATCAGAGGCGGAAGGAAGCCACACGTGACAAGGGAATATTTTCTCAATTCTCAGAATGTACGACACCATATTTAGGTTAAAAGGAAGGATTTGGGTTGATGAAGCACAGCCTTGCCCTTGAGGGCCTGCTGCTCCATATGTTAGGGTCTGCATACCTCAGGGTGGGACTGTCACCCTTTGTTCTGGATCATGAGGTTTATGCACAAAATAAGTTTGTCAGCTCAGAGATGGCTTCCAGGAAATGAGCTGGATTACCCTCACCAGGACCTGAGTTCTTCCTCCCCTAGGGGCTGGGTCCTTTTTGTGTTTCTGCTTCCTATGCCTCCAGGGCCATCCCAGCAGCAGCAGAGAAGCCACTGCAGCCTCTTCCAGGCAGGTCACAGGGTGAAGAAGGTACAGGAAGTGGGACTGTCTGGGCCTCCCCCTCCTCCCAGAAGCAGCCTCTCCTGGAACCAGATACATTTCCCTGTAACTTTCCCCAAGACCCCAGGCACTCACATCGGGGTAATAGTCCACCGTGGGGACCAGGTGCTCCATCAAGGCTTCCAGGGACCCAGAAATGAGGCGTCCATCTTGGAAGATGAGGTCCCCAGAGCCACTGCCAGCCCCGCCTCCTCGCTCCCCCATGCCGGGTTGCACCTGTCCACTACAGCTGGGTCCGAGGATGCTGGAGAAGACCACAGATGTCTGGGGCATAGTTTCCTAGGAGAGAAGAACAAGGCCATTAGGCAGCCTGCATGTATTCAGGGTATGTGGCGAGAGCCCCAGACGTACCACCCAAGTGGTCGCTTAGCCACCGCACACCTGATAAATGTTTCTTCAGCACCTGCTATGTGCACATGGGGCCTCATCTTGGGATCTGGACACAAAGCCTGCCTCCTAAGRTTATAAGCAGGATAAGAAGAGAAATTGTGGAAAAAAATGCCAGGAGGAAATACAGGGAGCCTGTGGTCAAGGCGGCCTGAGGGAAGGTGATGTGTGTAAAATGGTGCTGGCCATACAGAAAGGAACCTCCTAGGAATGAGACAGTCCAAAGCCCAGTGTGTATGAAGGGGATAAACAGAGACGGTGGTCTGAGTCTAGGATGACCACACTTACCCCAGGGCCAGCATGAGAAGAAGCCACTCTGAACATAGTTAAGGGAGCCTTCATGGGAGGGAGGCATCTGGAAGCCACTTGGGCCAGATTTGCCATAAACGAGAGAGAGCTCCTCAGGTCAGGTAGGAGCAGAAGAACAGGGGCAAGGCCGACCCTGGACACTGTGAAGGACTGTCTCAGCCCTGGAACACTGACCAGCACAAGACAGAGCATGAAGGCAGGGTCTAAGGAAAGATGTGGGACTGGCTTTTGGACATGTGGAATCAGACATGCCACTGACATGTAGACACCTGAGCATCAGGCATCCTGTTGGCCTCCCTAGGGCTGTCCCCTGTGGCTGCCCTGCTGAGGGCTACAGGGTTCCCACCTAACATTGCGGCTAGGCCTCTTTTGAAAGTTCTCACGAAGCAGGGGAGACTCTGAAGTCCTCCAGGCCTCAGTCTCTGCATCAGGCAACCGACCAAGTGTAAAAGGATCATGAAGCTTTTGCGGGCCCGGGCCTCTGAGACCCAGGCCTGGAAGTGTGCTCTCCCTCCTGTGGCTGCACACACAGTCTCACCCCTCCCACCCCTGGGAGACAGGTGGGCCTGGGGCCTAGGCGGCTGAGGTCAGGTGGCAGAACTGGACCTTCCTGCCATGGCAGGGGGCACAGACAGCACAAGCACAAAGCCACATGGCCCTCTCTCGGCGGGGCGCTCCTCAGAGGAGTGGTTCCTGGTAYTAAGAGGGGTGTGATTGGGAAAGCAGTGGGAAGGCTCCATACCCTCCTCTGGCTTCCTGCCCCCCTGCACAGTCCATGAGGGCTCAGCCTTGTAGACTAGGGCAAGCCTCAGAGCCATCCTAGCCTCAGTTTTCCCACTATGTCAAGCAAATACTAGCCATGATTACTGCTRCAAGAGGACCACGGGGCTGCTCTCCAGGGGCTTTACAAGCAGAGGACCACCTCCCTGTGACAGAGCATACGGCACTGACCCCAGGCTCAGGGCAGCCTCCCCTCCAGGAGGGGGAGGAGAGCCTGTCTCAGAGTTAGCTTGTTGCAGCAGCAGCAGCACCTCATGCATGTGAGATGAACATTCTCAATGCCCAGCCCTGTCCCCTGTCATATCAGAAACTCAAAGATAAGCTTGACATTCGTTTTTTAATAAGCCCTCTCGGGACTTGTGTGCTCAAGTCTGAGGATCACTGATATCAGTGAACCCTTCATTTCTCAGATGCTAYATCAGGGGCCCAGTGGAAACAGACTCCACTAAGGAAATCCTAGAATTTCCAAGTCCTCCCCAGGTCCCTCCCTGGATTAAGCCTAGACTACTGACCTRTAAGTCCTCACCCCAATTCCTGAGGTCATGAGATGTTGTTTTCCCATGGAAGAGGTAGGAGGTACTATGATAGGAGAAGGGAATGCCCTAACATGCTGCTAACAAACAGCCCTTGCCAAAGGGAGACCTGCCCCAGTGCTGGGGAGGTTTGCCTGGGAGACCAGGGGAGTCAGCCTGGAGACTCAGCTCATGGTGATTCTGCTGCTAGGGAGGGGTTAGATGAGCCTAGTAGGAACAGGTCCCCTTCAAGGACAGGGTCCTGGATGAGGGACCAGCACGGATACCCAAGGCAGGCCAGGTTCAGTGGGGGATTGGCAGAGCCCATGGAGGCCCCGTGGGAGGAAACACACAGCATTAGCTAACGCTCTCAGTACATAATATGTACCATAAGTGACACTGAGTGCTGGTGTTGAATCATCTCATTTATTTCTCACAATAACACCAACCCACACTGAGAGCATCCAAAGATGAGGACAAGGCACCAAGGGCGAAGTCACACTCCACATATCACAGTGAGACACAGAGGACCAGGATTCAGGGCAACTAGCTGCAAAGAGGTGAGTTTTGCCAGGATCCTCAACTCTGGGAATCTTAATGGGTAGAGGGAGCACCAACTACTGCAGAGGTTTGCTGGGAGGATCAAATGAGCCCTCAGTATAAGTCGCACACTGCACTAGCTGGTTATCACTTCCCTGGGATCTGATTCCCATCTGTGAGATGGCTCAGCACCCCTCACAGGCCACAAGGGTGCCAGGACTCAGGAAGCCAACCCTGTGCTGACACTCTAAAACCAAACAGCAGTAGGCACCTGGTCATGGTTAAAATGCACAAATCATTCCAGGCAAGGCCTGYTGGTCAAATCTGCATCTAATTGAGGCACACAGGTGACTCGCATGCAGGAAGGATAAAAGGCCACAAACTATCCCGCTGAGAGTTCCAGCCTCCAGTGCCTTCTGCCAGCTAAACCAGGTGCCCTCAACTGTGGTTGCACATCCCAGAGGCTTTTCAAAGCCATTCTGCCCAGCTCCCACCCCAGTGGGTCTGTCTTAACTGGTCTAGCGGGCAACTCAGGTGCTGGCATTTTCCRAGAATTTCCAGGTGCAAATGGGAGGAGGAAGCCCAGACAGGCCTTCTCCTGCCTCTGCTGCACCTGGCTACAGCCAGACCCATTGCCAGGTTACAGACACTGCAGAGAGCTCAGTGAGACACAAGGACCAAGCAAAGGGATGGTGAGGATGGAGCTGGCTGGTGTGGGCCACCTTCGATAGGACCCACCTTCACCTCTGCTCAAGTTAGATGGAGWTGGCCTAGACCAAGCAGCAGCCTAGACCAGCAGAAGGAGTGGGGGGCAAAACAGTACCCCTAGATGGTTCCTCTCMACTCCTAGCACCTCCTCCTCTGTTCAGGCAGAAAGGCAAGCACCTTCTAATTATAAACCTAATCAACTCAGAAAAAATGTGCTCACACGTACAAGTGACTCACTCTATCCCAGGGGACAGACCTTGAAAGCTGCCCCCCTCCCACCAGGTGGGCATAAGGGGCAGTTGGACAGGACAGGATGAAGGCTACAGGATGAGAGGGAGAGGTCTCCCACCAGCTGCGTAGACAACCAGTTTCCATAGCTGGGTTTACCTGGCTCTCTGGGGCACATGGAAGAAGGGGGCCTCTCTGTATGAGAGCTGATGGCTGGTCCCTGAAAGGGGCCAGCAGTCAGGTGGGTAGGCCAGACCCACTCCCCTGCACAGCCAGAGGTAGCCCTGCAGGGATGAGTGTGGACAGGAAGAGCTGCCTGAAGAGGCTGAGCCCCAGAGGCCCTTTGCTCCAGGGTGGCCTGGGTAACAACATCTGGTTGGCCAGAGGGGAGGTGGGCAAAGCAACCGGGCCTAGGAGCTTCTTATAGTTACACATTGTCCTCTCCCCAGATCCTCCCCCTCCCTGTCCCCCCCATCCCATACCACCACTTTGGTGGCCCCAATCCTTCAGGCTTGACCTGAGGTGCCCCATCCAGGATCTCTGCTGTTATTCCCCAGAGCATGACATGGCTTGTGAGGTCTTGCAGCCAMGGTTCTATGGGGCTCAAGCCTGCTGCCCCCCATACTGGCCCAGAACAGGTAACACTGCCTTGGGGAGTCCCCATACAGTTGCAGCCCCCAGCCCCTGCCTCTTGCTCCTTTACTGCCCTTGTCTGCGCCCTCATGGTGACCACATGATCCACACAGGCTTGAGTCCTTTCCTGTGGTTGCATGTCCTGGACCCAGCACTGTGGAAAACAGTCAGCAATGTGGAGTGAAGACACATGTTCTCTGTCTCTGAATCCAAGGGGAAGCTTCTGGGATGCTCTGAGCTTCAGTTTCCTCACCTGTCAYTGGGTTTCTTATCCCACCTCCCTGCAGGGCTGTGTAAGGGTGGAGTGAGAAGATGGCAACCCATGTGGCTGTGTCCTTGGAGTGGACCAGATGTGGTTATATGCCATCCACCTCTGTGTCTGCCCTCAATGACACCCAAAAGGCCCAATGTCAGCTACCACTGATTCTAACTTATGCCTTCTGACCTAGAGGGAGCTGTAAGGCCATCAGCCTCCAGCCCCAACTACATGTTCTCATTGAGGCATGAGACAGATGGACTCATTTTGACCTGTGTGTCCACAACCCAGAAGTCAGGGCTGGCCTAGGTAACACCTGGAAACTGTTCATACCTAGGGGGACAAACTTATCTATGGAGCATGAGAACCAATAAGAAAATGCCCCCTCTTCACTCCAGATGGACAAAAGCATCACTGAGACTGACTAATGTTGGAACATATCCAGGCTATTTATTGGCTCTGCTTCCCTGCTTCCTGMTCCCCTGGGAGTAGGATCCCATATTTCGTAATGAAGTGTTCATACATAAGCTTCGTTCATATGTCAGCTCTGATCTCTAGGGAAGGTRGCTCTGGAGAAGCAGCCATCATCTTGCTTCTGTGCCCCTCCAGTGTGCAGAACATGCACATGCTGATGGCTCCAGGAGCCCAGAGGGTGAGGGATCAGGACCCCCACTCTCCAGTTGTGGGTTTGGGCAATTACTCCAACTGCATRAGCACTGGCTGATGGTGGCACCTGAACTCACAGTTGCTGTGAGGAGTGCAAGCACAGGGTGCATGAGGGGCCCAGTACAAATGCTCACATGCAGGATGTGCTACAGTACAGAAAGTGAACACTGCTCTCAGGGCTCTACTCCATCTGCAAGGTGCATTCTGGGGCTCTGCCTTAGAACAATGCAGGGAAAAGACCCCCTTTTATGGGATACAAC